AATATATCGTTGTTTGTACCAATTTAGACGCTTATGTTTCAATCCACCATATTACGTTAAGAAAGATCTAGTAGAAACATTAATTTTTCCTATCATTGACTATGCCATTGCTGTATATTGTGACTGTAATGACGATCTAACTAGTAGAATACAAGTTGCTCAAAATTCCTGTATTAGATATATATTTAATTTAAGACTGGATGATCATGTAACAAGGTATTATCGTCAGTTGGGTTGGTTAAAGATTAAAGAGAGAAGAGAATTAAATGTTTTAAACACAGTTTATAAAGTTCTAAATAATTGTAAGCCAGAATATTTGTTTGAAATGTACTCAAGAATGCGTGATATCCATATGAGAGGAACTAGATTTGGTAATGAGATAATTCAATTTCCTGTGCATAGAACGATGATATATAACAAATCTTTCCATGTATTATCGATTAGACTTATCAATAATTTAGATAGTGAGATAAAAAACCTTAATAACCCTAAAAGTTTTTCTAAAGCAGTAAAAAATCTGTTATTACAAAGATATGAAGTATAAAATCATCATCATTTTTCAACTATTACTTTTTTCACATGTATAAATATTAGGTATCCTCATTTTGTTTGACAGTTCCATAATAGTTTTAGGTGATAAAATCTTTAGTTATCAATGTAATATGTTTTGATTTGTAAGTGTAAGTTAATTTCTTTTTACACTTCTGTGTTGTTATATAATTTGTGTTTTTCACTTATTAAAAGTAAATTTTAGTTTTTCATAGTCCACAACTCTGTACATGTATATGTTGTTTGTATATTTGTTGTTCCTGTCCTGGGGGAAGAGTGGACCTTTGGTCTAACTCAGGGCAGGTTAAATAAAGAATTTGTCATTTGTCATAACCCTAGTCTGTGAATTGATCGTCTTAACCAAACTTTCAACATTGTCAATTCGACAATTTGTCAGATCACTATCTTTAGCGAGTTTAGTAACCATTGTCATTAATTTACTTACTGAATCGTGTAGTGAAATATACTCATCAATGTCACCTGCATTTTTCACCAATTTATCAACTCTAACCGAACAGTCCGTGCAATACCACTTGACATGCTTGGATACCTTAGTGATGCCATTATAAATGTCCATATTAATATTTAAGCAGTTTGGATGATACCATTGGCCACAAAAACCTTCACAATATAATCCAAAACCATCTTCAGGGATAACTGATTCACAAACTGCACATGGTGCACATGACTCATCATTCTCGTTGTTATCTCCACCACTTTCGTTCTCCGTTTCTTGCACAATATTGGTTTTGTTCTCCTTTATTTTAGTCTTCCGCTTTTCAGTTTTCATTTTTAATTTGATTTCAATCGTTTTCCAATAACGCAATATCTAAAAATACTTTAAATTTGTACTTTTTCACTACCGCACAATCAGAACAATATACTCACTCCGCCATCTTGTCTCTCAGCCTCAACTACGACGATTTTGATAAAAATACCCCCGCCGCAGCAAACCTACCGACTAAGCGAATTTCCATTTTTCTTAATTTATTTTCAATTCAGTCTATTTAGGCTAAATAACATTAGGTTTCAAATCAAATCAAATCATTTATTGAGCCAGAATTAACAATGTATACAAGTTGTATTGGCTAAGTCAAAATAAAAGTTGAATACAGTTTAACGAGTACCTAGGTTTGCTGCCCCAAGGAAACTAATAAAGTGTGGTTTTTGGTCAAATATTAATAACTTTGTATAAAATAAAAAAAATTGCCAATTTTGATCAAAATATATTCATAAACTAGCAAACTACAACATTTTACAATATTCTCCATAAGAATAACATGGGAATTTTCAATTTAAAATTTTTTGAATTTTCTCCGTTACCAATAAGTTAACCGCAAAAACACTTTGATATACACTAAGTTGTTTGCTTTTTTAAGCTCTTTAAAAAGGTCTAGAGAGGGACAAAAATGAGAAAAAACTGTTTTCATCCCTCTTAAAACCCAGTTCCCATGGTTCGATCATGCTGGTTCGCAAATTCATTCAAGTTTATCCCGCCTTACACCTTTGAACCAAATTTTTTTCAAAGTTGGACAAAAATTACTTGAGTTTTTACGTTCATGGACACATATATAATCCTATATTTTGTATATACATATATAAAAAATTTCAACGAATAGCGTGTTTGGCCTCTAGGGACATCAAAATGAAAAAGTAAATCGGTCCTGGGTTTAAGTCTTACTGTGCTACCTACGGTAATAGCTTACTTCCCTATAGGAAAATTCGCTAAAACTAGCAATAACTTTAACATGGGGATTCAATGTCTATTTGTATTTGTATTAATAGTAAAGGGTGGTAGTATTGACTGTGTAAAAATTAACCGTAGTAGGCCTATCCTTCTTTGGGGTAGTTAAACTCCAATAGAAAATATCTTTACTATTCACATCAAGCATCGGTACTATTGCCGTTTTGGAAGCAGTCAATTAATTCTAAAATATGAAAAAGATATTTAAACTAACAATGAAACATATGCAATAAATTAGACCATAATAGGCACTCCCTTTTTAAAAAGAACAGAGACTAATTTTTATTTTAGCAAAAATTAGACTTTTGAGGAATAACTTTCGTTGGCTTGGAAACTTCCATAGTGCGTTAGTTGTCAGAGGAATCATACATTGTTACACGCTTAAACACTAATGACTACCTTAATCATTATCAAATTTACCTTTGATTGTTAAAAATACCCCCGCCGCACAAACCTGCAGATTAAGCGAATTTCCATTTACCTGGCTGGATTTCTACTTAAATATTACCTGAAAATTGACAGATTTTTTTTCTATTTAAATAACATGAATTTTAATGAGTACCGGTACCGAGGTTTGTTGCTACAGGGAAGGTATTGAGGTGTGTTTTTGATTGAAATGTTGATAGCTTAGTATGAAATAAACAAAATTGCCAAATTTGATTTGAATATGTTCATAAACAAGCAAACTACAACAGTTATTAATTCTCCAAAAGAATAACATGGGTTTTTTTATTTTAAAGTTTTTTTTTTAATTACCTCCATAACCGTTAGGCATACAACAACGCTTCAATATAAAAAATTTTATATTTTTTTAAGCTCTACAAATTGGTCTGGAAAGAAATTGTAAAATTTTATGATTTTAGAGTCAAAAATGAGTAAACCCAATTTTTACCCCATAAAACCCCCCATAAATCCCCGTTCCCATGGACTGATCATGCTGGTTCGCGAACTCGTTCAATCATTTTGGCTCGAGTTATTGCCCTAACGGACACATATACATATGAATTTGAACGGAGGGTGTTTTTGGCCTCTGGGGACCTCAAAATGAAAAAGTAAATCAGTCCCGGGCAGTGGCGGCGATAAGAGCCCGCAGGCCCCCTCCCTGCAAGTTTGTTCGCCGGGCCCCCCTCTCTCAATAATCTTTAAAAACATGTTCAAAGTATTACCGCCTAAAGTTGCATTTTTTGCAATAAACTTCACAAGGCGTCTCCTGAGGCCCCGAGGCATCATCATCGTCTTCCATGATCGCGGTGAAATCGTGAATACTTCCCGTAGTCATGGAAGAAACATTATCATAGTCTACTGACATTGCAAATGTAACCAAACCTATGACATCATCAGATAGCAACATCATCGTCTCCCGCGTTCATGGCCCAATCTAATATCACGGCCTAATATCTCCCGCAACCTGTCGGTGGTGACAGGGAAATCATTTTTTCCGCAATCGTGGCAAAATCCTAGATATATCTCTTGCTGAAAAAGAAACGTAATTTTCGTCTTCCGCAGTCGCGGCCAAATATTGAACATCTCCTGCGGCCGCGGAAACATTGTCATCGTCACCCGCGGGGAAATGTTCTCGTCGATATCCGCGATCGCGGCAAAAGCGTAGGTAGGCCTAATTTTTCAATTTCGTGAGCGTGATCCTCGCAGATATAAAAGCTTTTACTTTTAATTGGGCATTATTGTATTGAGTACTGAGAAAATCGGCTCGAGCTCGATTTTCTGACTTTGTGTTTCACCTCTCAAGCTTGTAGGCCCTGCTTGGCTCGAAAATCGACATTGTGTTATAAAAATTAACCGTTTTCAAAGCAAACCGATTTTAAACCGATCTGATTTAACCTGGGGCCCATAAAGTAGCATTTTTTTACCTGATTCAAAGTAAACAAATCTAAAGTGCGAAGTAAACCAGTCTAAAGGGCATCCTCCTAATAGTAAAAAATGAAATGAAATGAAAATCCTTCTTTAGCATCAATGAGAGAATGGAATTATTAGCTGGTGCCGCTGGTGCCCTAGCCACCTAGGATAATTTGCGAATTTGATCGTAAACAAATTTTAAGTTCATTTAGTTGAATCAGCATAGAGGGCCCTCTCTGGTGTGACCCGCCGGGGGCTAGGAGGATTCTAGGCTGGAGGCATATTATAAATACGGCCCTATTATAGCGCCTTCACACAGTCCACGAGGACAGTCGATGCAACGTGCATGGCTGTTGATAATTCTTTTACTTAGGTTGGTAGAGAATTTATATTGATTGGTCAAGTAATAGTGTCAGTTTAGCTGTTGTAAACTACTTGTCCTAGTGCTCTTGCTGGTTTGAACAAATTTTCGTTATAAAAAATCATATGGTAATTCTCTGATAATGATAGGGGACCCGTGTGGCTGAGCCTGTCACACAATTGCGGGCCCGTGTCCCGGTAAAATTTACCGAAAATCCCGGTCAAGGCTCACGGGCTCCCCTAGCTCATGGGCCCCCCTGCACCGCGGGCCCTGCGGGATCGCTATCGCCGCCACTGGTCCCGGGTCTAGGTCTACTCCCTAGGCCTAGGTCCCTATATAGGAAATTCGCTAAAAGTAATTTGGTACGGTAACTTAACGTTGAGTATATATTAGGCCCTACATACTCAGTGTTGTCTTCAGCCATTGACCTTTGTAAACTCAACCTAGTTCAACTTCTAACAGTAAAACTAAGAGTACCGTAGTAGAGAGTACCGTAAGCAGGATGATGTTTGGAGGTTTCATAGGATATTCAGTTGGAAGAAGTATCCTTCCATGATACAAGCCACCTTCAAACTCAGTTCCTGAAGGTCCCTGAACTGTGAAGTGCCACTCAAACAAGTTATCATCTACTGGGTGTGCGCAGTATTCTTCAGTGGGATCCTTCAGTTCAAATGCTTCTCGCATAAGTCTTTTAACAGCTAAAATCACATATTTAGGTATTAGCACAAATTTTCTTAAAGGAATTAAACTCTAATTGTAGGCCTAATGCGTTTACCAGGATTTAATTACTACAGTATTATTAAAATCAATACATTTACCAGAATATAGTATAGGCCTATTAGTTTTAAATCATTTAAGACGACTATTGAAACTTAACACCCTAGTCACAGCAAACTTGCAGACCCATTGTATTCCTACACTAGGTATAGTATCATAATCTACAATATTTACAGTGGTGAGGCACCTGGTCATCTACAAAATTTTCCAATGAACGATTACCGTAAAAAAATGCAAATGAACAATGAATATTATTTAAAACAAAAACAACATTAGATGAAAATTAAAAATAACCTGTTTCAAAGCAAGAAATTTAAGCAAAATTCTACAATAACTAGTCCTAAAAATTGTATGTAGATTTGCTGCGCCCAACAAATTTATTTGTAGCCTGCCTAGGTCCTACTACTTCGAGTCCATGGGGCCACTAACAAAATCCTACTGTGTTTTAACTCTCCGAGTCGAGTGGCCTCAGGTAGTTACCATAGTGGCCAAGCCAAATTGCCATTTTTGCAGACATTTTCTTTTAGCAAGTTTCCCTATAAGGAAGTAGCTATTACTGTAGCCATAGGTACCGTACCGTAGGTCATGGTAAGACCTAGGCCCAGGACCAATTTACTTTTTTTGATGTCCCCATAAGACCAAAAACACAATTTGTTCAAATTTATATATATATCCAGGGTGTTTCAGTAAAGCGTAGCGGGCTATGCAGATTCAGATTCTACATGCAAAAGTACCTAAGTCGAAAATGTTGAATAACTTTTTTTCGATTTCGGCTTAGTTTAGCCATAATCCGCCATTTTGTATTTTTTTTTATAATTAATAACTCAAAAACCCTAGGAGATATTTTTAGCAAAATTCCCATAGGCCTATAGGGAATAAGCTAGAGTATTACCGTAGGTCTCATGTAAGACCTGGACCTGGGACCAATTTTCTTTTTTGTTATGAGGTACCCAGAGGCCAAAAACACCATCCCTTGCGTGATAACTCGTAAAAAATATTTATTCTTTTATTTCAAAAATAGCGGCCATTTTCCAAAATGGCAGCAAACTTGAAAAGTGGAAAAATGTGTTTTATGGTCTTTTTGGAATGTAGATGCAATTTCAAGACTTAATTAGGCCCACTATTCACATTTTTGCTCTAAACTTACTCCTTTAGGGGCTACATGATGTTAAATGTACACCGGAAGTCATTTTTTAATACAGTAGGCTGTAACTCCTAAACGAGTGGGTTTATGGACAAAAAGTCAGGAATAAAAAAGTTTTTAAATTGCATGTTCTCCGCAAACATGGTGTGGCCATCAATAAGAGGCTTGTGATTATCGACTATATTCTCATTCTGACAAGAGTATTTTTTTTGTGTTTCTTTATACAAGTGTGTTTTAGGCCTATGTGCTTAAGTTAAGTAGGCTTTACTATATTATTAATTTTTTGGCATACCGGTACTTTAATACTTTTCTTTGAAATGGCGACCATACAAAGGTGGTAGGTATTTTCAGCCAAGTATGAATAAAGATGAGTGTGGGATGAGTGGCGCGATCTTGTAGTCTTGTTAGTCAGGACATAAAATAACATGTAAACTCGGGGCGACACTTGTGCTGACTCAGTGCTGAGATTTTGTCGCCCAGTGACTATGAGTGGTGCCGGAATATTTTTTTAATGATTCACATTTTAGATGTAAAATAGCCTATCGGAATAAAAAAAAAAAAAAAATAGCATTCTGTAAATATTGAGTATTGAGCTTTGATTTTGGCCCAAGAGGTTGTGAAGGCAGCCTTGGCCTTATTACAACGTCTAGAACACATATTTAAGTGAGTTTATATGGACCATTTATAAGCAAATATAATTGAATAATTCATAAAAGATACATAGAAATGTGTGACTTTCACTTTAATCTATGCAAAAATTTGGGGGGGGGGACCCTCAGACCACCCTTTTTTATTCCAGACCCCCCGTAAGTCCGGCGCCACTGTCACCCAGTGGAAATCATTTAAAATATTCTCTGTTGTTAGTGACTAAGACTGACATATTCCTTAGACATAGGACTAGCTGTTAATTAAGAGCCCATACAGCTAATGGAAACTAAGGGATCACACTCATAGTGGAATCCGAACCATATTTTGGCAAATATTTGATGTATCTACAATGCGATATCGTGTAATTTTTAGATGTGTACTTACAGTATTTTTCACGCTGAATCTAAAAATGCAATCAGTTAGGCTATTGTCGGAGGGATTCATAAGTTGCCGTAAAACGAATTTTAAAATTACGAATCTAAGGTTCTTTGAGCTATACTGATGGTAATATGGCGTGGTCTGGACGGATCCGTATGTGGACTGTGAACTGAGTGAGGAGGAAATCAAACAGCTGTTTATACTCGATTTAATGTGGAATTAAATCAATTTGTTTTTAAACCAAATAAGTTTAATCAGTTCTTATTTAGGCATGTGAGGAAGGTAGGTAGGTCGGGTTTCATGCGGATTTGTGACTGTGAAGTGAGGTTAGATTAGGAAGGTAAAGGTTAGGTTATAATGAACCGACTCATTAATTTATGCAACTTCCAGACTGTTTTTGCACAATTGAAATAGTGGGTGAAACACAATGAAATGACAATATCAAAAATGTGCGCACAATAGCCTATAGG